AGTCACAGGCTTTCTGAAAGCGGCGGCGTCTCCTTCAAGGCCTCACCTCCCTCCAGCTCAGCCCGCCCAACCCACCACACCCCCACTTCGCGCCCATCCATTGTCCTCTCGCAGCTGTCACTGCACTCCGATCCAGAGCTCCGGATTGGAACAACTTCCCGTCACTCAGCCCACACTCTGGGGCCGAACGCCACATTCCCAATTCCGAGCCTTAAAAGGTCTAAGGCCACGTTCCCGGAGCCAGCAGCAGGTAAAGCCGCAGTGGCGGAAGGGAGAGGCCTTTCGCCCAGGTCGGGCCCGCCAGGCGGTGGAGGGGGTGGGGAGCGCGCCACACCGCCCCTCTCTCAGTCTGACCGCGTCCTACTCCCCACCCCTGCCACCACACCTCAAGTCCCGATCATAAAGCCCAAACCACCGAACCACTCTCATAATCCAGCCCCCGGACAGCCTAGAGGGCAGTTCCCACCGCGAAGCTCGGAGGGCGGGGCGGGCAGGGCGCAGGGAGGGGGTGGGGAGGAATGTGAAAGGTCCCGGATGTTGCTGAACCGGAGCCCCTTCGGGAGTGACTGGCGCAGGCGCAGAAGGACCTCACAAAAAGCTAAGGTGGGGGGTGGGGAAAATTTTCCTTCTCTCAGGATTAGAAGAGTGAGCTGGCGGAGGTAGCAGGGAGTCAGAGGGGAAGGCGAGGTAGCGGGTAGCTGTGGGGAGGAAAAAAAGGTGCTTCCTGCCCCGGCGCACTGGAGGCTAGAGAAGTTGGAAGCTAAGCAGAGTGGGGAGGAGGGTTGTTAGCGGCAGACAACGCGCGCTCCTCCGTTCGCCCTCTAGCGCGGGCGGATAGGACGCGCGCGTTAGGGAGCGGCGGTTGCGCTGGGCCCCCAGAGCTGTGGGCACCAATCAACGGTTGCCATAGCAGCGTTTGACGTCATCGTGCGTGTGGTGCCCCTGCTGCCGGGGCTGGTGATTGGAGGAAACCCCGTGTCTGCGGAGCGGCTGTAGCCTGTGAGCAGCGAGATTCAGGGACAGAGTCTCAGCCTCGCCGCCGCCGCCCAGAGACTGCTGAGCCCCCGTCCGTCCGCCGCCACCCACTCCGGACACAGGTAAGGGACTCGGCCGCCGCTGCCTCGCCCCACTCCTTCCTGTCCCAGACCAGTCTTCCGAAAGCTCGAGGGATGTCCCCGCTCCACATCCCTTCAGCCCTTCTCGCCCGGCGGTGGCGGCGCTGGGCTGAGGCGGAGTCTCGTCAGGCAGAGACGGGCGGCGGCTTCTCTTCCGCTGGACTCGGGCGGCTCGCGGCTGCCTCGGGCTGCCTGCTTCCGGATCGACACCTCGGCCGGGATAAGCGCCGGTTCCCGATTCCCGTCCCCGGGGTTGGAAGGGGCGCCCACAAGCGAGATCCCTGGGGACCTGCCCGGTCGCCGGCTCTCCGGGGAGGTCGAGGCGCGACTGGCCGACGGACCCGTCCCTGTCGTCACCCCTGTCCCAAAGCCCCTGCCCCCTCGCCGTCCCGCTCCTCGCTTCCGCACGAGATAATGACTCGGCGGCTGCGGGCATTGCAGTGGCGCAGGTGAGGCCGCCCCCTCCCCGCGGTCCTCCCTTCCCCCCCGCCCCTCGGCGCAGNACAGTCTGTGACCTAAGTACCATAGAACATAGACTAGAGTCTGGAATGTGGGGATAGAGTTAAAAGGTATGGACCAAACAAATTTTTTTCTTTTTAGAAAAACAAGGCTAAAGTAGTAGACAAAGGAAATGAAGATGGGATCAAGTAAATAGTAAATTTAAAAAGTAAATTTAAATTTTAGAATAAAGTGAGGAAAAAACTACTTCCCTAAAGTCATTCTAGAAGTCAACAGATTAGTTGAGAATACTTAAACTGACTTTTATCAGATCAGGTTCCCTGTTCTTATTCTCACATTATTTTTCTCCCCCCTCCCGCCCCATGCCCTTTTCATTTCCATTTTCTTCTTTTATAAAGAACACCTGTCCTATGCATTGGACTTGCCAGTGACATCTATGGACCATACAGTGCTAGGTGTCATAGCAGATAAATCCTAAATTTCAGTGGCTTAAAAATGGAAGTTATCCCTCAGTAAAGTCTAAAATGATTGGGGCCGGCTTTCACAGGCTTTCAGGGGCCCAGGCTCCTTTCATTTTATGGTCCTATCCTCCTCTAAAGCTTTGGAATGCTCTCCACTCAGCAGATAGAGGTCCATTTGGGGACCACATAAAGGTTCAAACAGGGAGGTTTTCATGGACCAGGGCCATAAGTGGAACACATCACTTTGTTCACACCCCAGTAGTTAGTGCTCAGTCACACAACCACACCTGACTGCAAGGGAGACTGGGCAATGGAGTCCAGCTGTGGTTCTGATAAAAAATGGGTTTGTTGAATAGCTAGCCTGTCTCTGCCACTAACTCCAAGTTATTCCAACAATGGGTCACCATGATCTAGAGTACTGTGTGTATCCCTCTCCTCACTTTCTCAGTTAATCCTTGCAATAATCTGACAGAGTTCGGTGTTAATACAGTATGTCCAATTTGGCAACCTAAGGTCACATAGCTCAGAATGACAAATCAAGATTTGTACCCCATTCTGACTCTAAAGGCCCATGGCATTATGCTGCATTTCTTCAATTAAATAATAATGTTGAAGTGAGATTATAACCTGAATTGTGATTAAACTCAAAAGATCATGTAACTGCCACATCATCAATACAGTCCATCCTTTGTGATGTTTTTCTAATTGGAATGATGGACGTATGCCAATTCACCTGAACTCTTTCCTATTTTAATGTATAGCATGGATCTGAGTGATCGTTGCAGTACCCAGTACAGGAATGGAGCGATATGCACTGTCTCATCACTTATGTCTCATTAGTGCTAATAGACTAACACAAATTTGCATTTCCAGAGTGAACCTCTTTATATCTCACACTTTTAAAAGACATTTTAAATAGTTTCATTTTGTCTTCACAACCCTTAAAAAGTAGACATCCAATATATCCATTTACAAATGAATAATAGCTGTTACTTTGCGCAAAGAATGGTGTTAAGCATTGTGTGTACTATATATTAATGCATAGATTAATAAATATATATGTATTACTTCATTTAATCCTCGACACCACTTAACGTTTTTATTACTAGTATTTTATTGATGTGAAAATCAAGGCACAGAAGATTAAGCGACTTGACTGATGTACCAGAGATAAGTAGTGAATAAAACAGGTCAGGCTACTAGTGAAAGTCTTTTGTAATTTTCCCAGAGTTCAAGTTCATAGGTTCTATTTCATCTTTGTTTTGCCTTTATCCTTGTCACATATTATTCCTATTCCGCAGAATACTTATCACTTGGGGCTCTCATGACATTCTCTATTTTTGTTT